GTGGCCTGACTTTCAGCATGCTGAGTTTGCGGGTGTAATTTCAAGCCCTTTTCCAAACCATGATGTACAAAGCTTGGCGCTTGTGTTATTGGAGTTACTGTTTCAGTTTGTTTAAAAAAAAAAAAAAAATTGCTTCAGACATCTGCTTGTATAAATGCTGCTCCTTTTGTTGATGTGAATCGGTTAAATTGTATATAAAAATGGTTTAGCAACAAGCTTTAATTTAATCAGTCTACTGGATCAGAAATGCTCCTTAGATCTTTAAAGAAGTCTCTAATTGGAAGTTCATTAGCTGCTTTTGTCTGGCTTGTTCTCCACTTAAATTAACGTATTAAATATACTTTGCCTGTTAAAGGAAAATCTTAATTTACAATTTACGTGTTTACTCTCCCTTCAAAAGAAGGGCTGTGTGGTTATGTTTCCAAAAATCAGCAAGCATAATTAAATGTTTATCTGTGACGTGGTTTCGATGGCATCGCTTTTGTGAAGTGGTTGTGAGAACAGCCACTTGGGAAGATTTGGTGACTAACTGAATTAGGACCTCCTACAAATGCAATGCCTAGAGACTCTCTTGTCTCGGGAGAGGCTATTTCCAAAGCTGTATTTAGGATTTTGATTCATTGCTCTTGAACTTTAAACATTGCTGCAGTGGCAGATTTTTTTTCCTCATTTGGCATCCCGTAAATAAATCTGGGGGCAGGGGTTTAATGTAACTTTTCACTCAAATGCAACACAAAAATAGTTGGGAATGAAAAGGGGCGATTATAAAGGGTTATTTATAACAGTCTGTTGATCTTCTGACTTGCTTGTGTTGACTTCCCCGTACTTGAACTCAAAATGGTGACAACCTGGGCACAGCTGGAGCAGAAACCAGATGAAGCAGTTTGGGGAATTCTGCAGCCTTTTCTGCAGGTCCATCCTGAGCAGACCGTGCTGCTTTGTTACAAAAAGCTCAAGAGGTCCTCGGTTTTGCTCTGAGGTTACCCCTCAGTAGTGGGTGTACTCGTACTCTGTAAGTTTGATGTTAAGCATCTAGGAGAAAACAGACAAAAAGATGCATTTTAAAGGAAACAGCCTTGTCAGGTATTTGCTATGTGAACAGGCAGATCCCTAAGTCCGATTCTCCTTTTGCAAGTGGATTCTCTTGAAAGTGGAGCAGCATAAAGGTGTACATTATTAACATTTCAAGGCGACATCTGCCCTGCTCGTACGTGTGAAGAAAACCTTTAAAAATTCCTGTATATAAGGTTAACTTTCTGTTTTCAGAGTATTTAAGCCAGAAGTTCAGTAAATTTTTGAAGCCAAGTATGATGCTTTATTACATTAAAAGAAGAAGTTTTTGAACTGTTAAATCTGGCAGGATCTTTGGTGGCTTGCAAATCCTTTTAGTTTGTCAGGAGCCAAGTATAATGCTTTATTACATTAAAAGAAGACAGAAGTTTTTGAACTGTTAAATCTGGCAGGATCTTTGGTGGCTTGCAAATCCTTTTAGTTTGTCAGGAAAACGTGAAGCAAGCATTTAGGCAAGTACTTATCTGCATGCAGCAAGCAGCTCTGCTGAAGTCAGTAATGCAAAGTGATTACTTCTGCAATGCAAGCGTCAAGTTTTTCAAATACAAAATACTTGCTTCAGTCTTGCTCATCTGTTCCATCCCACTTCCCTTTCTCAATATCCTAGATATAAATCCAGACTAACCTCAAACTCATTACAAAAAGTGTTGCCCTCTGGTAGTAATTTAGCATTATTTTTTATGGAGCCATGCAAGGGTATAAAATGAATCCAGCAAATCATAAAACTTGAATAGGTGGAAACAGCAGAAATTATATGAAGAATTCCACACATTAAGTTATTCAATAATAATAATAATCCTCTTATGCTGTTTGATGTCTAGAATGGCTGTGAAAATGTACAGCACTGAGAACTCATAGCCTTGCAGAGGTTTTTGCTGGGTGTTTTTTGTTCCGTTTTTTTTTTTCTTTTGTGTTTTTTGGGAGTGTTTTGTTTTGTTTTTTTTTTTTTTGATAGAACTCTGCAGATCCAGCCTGAATGAGTCAAGTGTCCCAAAGTCTTAAAACCAGGGTTCAGCAAATGAGAATTTGAGAGCAATTTAGGTAAACTTCAAAAGCATGTGTTTACGGAATGAGAAAACAATTTGATGTAATTTACATTTCTGTTTTGAGTTTATATGGTAAGTAAAGTATGGCTCATCAGTGCTTGCACTATAGAACTCTGCAGATCCAGCCTGAATGAGTCAAGTGTCCCAAAGTCTTAAAACCAGGGTTCAGCAAATGAGAATTTGAGAGCAATTTAGGTAAACTTCAAAAGCATGTGTTTACGGAATGAGAAAACAATTTGATGTAATTTACATTTCTGTTTTGAGTTTATATGGTAAGTAAAGTATGGCTCATCAGTGCTTGCACTGGAGCAGAAGCTGTTTTGTCTGGAGAGACAATCTGCAAGTGTCCTGGTGGGGAGGCTCGGTGAGACTGGGGGCTTCAGCGCTGTTAAATGTAAAGAGAAGGTGAGCAATGCAGGATTTCAGAATCAACGTGACTGAGTTGCTGTTTGATTTCTTTTTCGCCATGCTGGTAAATGATTGAACAGTTTGCAACTCTGTGAATGCCATTCTGGCATTCAGGTGGGTTTTAGAAATGACAGACCCCAGCGTGCTAGTGTGACCTCCTTGTACCTCTTTAGGATGTTTTTCAATGCTCAGTATTGTAATTCAGCATCACGTTCTTCAGCTACAGTCTGCTGTTATATGGCGTAGATGAGAGATGACCCTTAAAAAGTTAATTTATTCCTGCTTCTTCAAGTGGAAGAAAGAAAATTACTGTGCTTTAGTAAGGTCCCATTATCAAAGGTTGCGGGAAACACAGTGGATTAAAATCAGACGCAAGAAATTCTTAACACCCCCAAGACATTCACTCTGCCTCCCTGAAGAACAATAAAGCGTTTGAGGGCAGCAGTGGCAGGGGCTCCTGACCTTCAGGGGTCAGAGCATCTGCTGGGGCAGAGTGGCTGGCTGGAGGTAGAGGCACTCGCAGCCATCCCTGGTTTCCCACCCCACATCAGTCAGTCCTCGACCTGCATCCGTGCCGGGGGCACCGGAGCGGAGCAGACTCCGAGAGCGGTAACGCCTTGGCAGCTTGGGCTGGGTTCTGCACCCTCTCATGCCTGAATGCAGGAGAGTAAAGTGGGAACCGAGACCTTCACGCCTGTTCCTACTCTCCAGGCTCTCCACGCCACTGAAATCCTTTAATCGGTGATACTGGCTTATTTTTTCTCTAGCACCACTGCACTGTACGAATAGCTTATCCTCAGGATTGCTTAATACAGGTTTCCTTAAGACCGTGTTTTGCTAACCTCTGCTGCGCCCAGTTGCTGTGACAGTAGTTGTAGTTGAACAAGCACAGAACTTAAAGGGTAAAACGATGACTTTCATCCGTTGTTTGAAATAGTCCATTTTCTCGTACTTGCCAAGGAATTGACAGGATGGTGGTTTGGGAGTGGGAATGACTACTCTCACTATAGTCGTAAAATAACTGTAATTCTTCAGTGTCTCCGGTGTGTCCTTTTCTTGCAGTTTATGTGTCTGTGCTGCCACTGAAGATGAGGAGTACGTTTGAAAGGGTTGCTGTCTTTGCCACACCTGATGATTTCAGAAGCTCCATTAGGACAAGATGCTGAAACTGAAAATTGTGTCTGACAATATCAGCTTTGCTGGGCAGATTCACGTTATTAAAAGCAGATAAACTGAGTCGGCTGTTTTGTGCAAGATCAAAGGAAAATTGGATCGTGAGAGGCTGTTGCCCGGATAATGCTGACATCGTGGCTTTTTCATTAGGGCGTAATTGGATAGCGTTCTTAAGGGATATGGATTTCTGTGGTCCACCACTTGCAGCAGAGGACCTGGAACAGGAAACAAACTGAAATATGCTCGTTTATTGAAATTCTCCACTGTGGATAGGAAGTTTTTACTTTGAGGCTTTATCTTTATTGAGAGGTACATTTTAGCCATGAAACAATTAATGTGTAGTGTTTGTCCCGCTACTGGAAATCAGGCAATGTGGTTTTTGTGGTAGTCAAGCACTAGCAGGCTGGAAGGGCAGGAGGTGCAATGCTGATCTGTCTTAATTGCCTGGTAGGTGTGAGCTCCAGTGCCCAGACTTCAGTGGGATTTTGCCGTAGGGTAGCTTAGTTATGTTGCTACTAAGGAAAATAATCTTTCCTCTAGCTAGAAAAACTTAGCCTCAGAGTTGGTGGTAGGTGATCCTTTTAAGGCCTCTTTCTGTAATATTTGAGCCTTGCGCATTTTCTTAGTCTTTGAAGGTAGTAAGTGGAGGATGTGGACTCTGAGGTCAGGGCTAGTAGAACCCCAAAATAAGCTGTGTTTGATGACACCATTTGGAGGCAGATTCCCCTGAAGCTTCTTGTTTGCAGGAACTGCAAACCCTCTCTGTTCAGCTGTCTTTAAATAGATACTTAAAAGCAATAAAATGGTTTGAGACATAGGCTCATATAAGAGTGCTGTTTCTCCGTGCTTATACTACACCTAAATCTCTTTTCTCTGATATTTTGATGCAGTTTCAAATCTTTGTCTGACACCTTTTTAATTTTTTAATTTTAAGAACAGATTGCTGAATTAAGTTTTATACCCACCCTTTGAACAAAGTAGTGCAGTTTTCAGTCAGCGGCGTATACTAAGGTATTATTCTTCTCCTTGAGCAGAGAGCAATAGGAATAAGGCTCCTGTACACACACAGAAAGATCTGAGCTTGTGTTTGAATATGCAGTAGTTGGTTTTGGTGACTTCTAAATATCAAGCATCCATGAAATGGGAAAGCTTTTTCAATATTCTGATTTAAATTAGTAAAACTTCACCCTTAATCTAGATTTGATTTCTAGTAATTTCATGGATTAACAGAAAAATAAAGTATGTGAACGTGTTCAAAACACCTGAAACATGTGCCTGACTGACTGTGCTTTTCCTTTGCAGGATGTTGTCTGGGGGTTAAACTCTTTATTTACTGTAAGTAAATGAATATTTTGCCTATCCACTTTCCTTTTTCCTGCCTGGTTTGGTTTAGCATCACCTTACGTGAGCCCTGTCTGTTGCCTCTTAAACTTAAGGTCATTATTTTTGTGCTTTTGTTTGTATAAGTGCAAGACTCATACAGATGGTCTGAAACGCCAGCTCTTTTGTACGTCGTTTTTACTTTTGGTTACAAATCTATTATGGGATATTTTGGTAACAAGTTGCTTGGGATCTTCCACACAGTATGAAATTCCTTCCACTGGTTTGCAGGAGATAAAAATTCACATTGCTCTGAGAAGGAATTGTGTTGGTGTTATGTTTTTTAAAAATTCTATTTAGGAATTAATGACTGACCTGCAGTCTCGTTCCTGCTTTGAACACCTATATTCCTGTTCAGGGGCCTCGGTACCAGCCCACAGAGTTTGCATAAACCCCGACTTGTCACAGAAATGGTATGGTCTTGTTCAGGGATCCCGTTTTCCCCCTTTTCCTTTAAATTGACAGGAGCAAGAAACCCGTGCCTCGTAATTACAGGAGCAGCTTGAAAATGGAGGAGAGAGCCAGAAGCTGCAAGAGGCAGGCAGGATGCAACAGCTGCTTTTAACCTAAAAGCAGAGAGAGGCTAGGCCTTTACTGTACAAGAGGTGCCTTTTTTAGAGAATCCAGGATTACGGCCCCCTTCCACTGCCCTTGCTGCTGAGACAGGTCAGGAGAAAGCAAAGAAAGGCTTTGGTTGCCACATTTGTCATTGACTCCGGAGAGAACTACCCCAGCTACTCCAGGGTGTACGGAGGAGGCTGTGAACTGTGAAAAGCTTCGGATGAGGAGCATCGCTATGGGCTTTGCTAGCCCCAGGCTATTTTCAGAGAGAGGAATTCCTTCCACTGCTACCTGCAGGAAGGGGCACAAAGCAGTGACTGTGCTCCCAGCACTATCAACAGGGTCGCGGTGTGTTTCTAAAACCTCTGGCATAGACCAAGCCAGTGACTGGCTACAATTTCCTAAGCTTTCCTGGCATCCAAAGGCTTGATTTGTTTCGACGGTATCTTTGGTAAATTGATTTAGAAGATTGGAGAGCATTTGCCTTTTCAACAAAGAGTAATTGCATTTCACAGTTAGTCTCCCACTGCATGCTAAGTAACTGGAAGAAAGCGAAACCCACTGGAGGTACAAAGAAGTGCCTTCAGAGGCAAAACTGCTTGTAAAAATATCTGTAGGGCAAACAGCTGTGAAGAGCAATGGTCATGCATCAGAGACCATGGAGATTTGTCATGGCCTGCAAGAGCTGTGCTTCCCAGCTTGCCTCTTGGATTTCCTTCACACCCAGCTTCTTATAAATAGTTAGGCTTTGAAAAGCTGGCATTGGATTGTACTGGCTCTGCAAATTCTTTTGGGATTTTCTTGAAGAAAGTGAGTGAAAATGAGGTGGATTGGTGTCCTGGTTTGAATGAAATAGGAGGTTTGCTGCTTGAAAATGAGTCGGAGAGTGACATGAGCCTTTCACACTTGTGAAACGATGGCATTTCACTGCTGTCACAAGCTAACCTTAAACTGGGGAAAGTGATCTGGGCTGCAGCCAGAATAGGGGGATACGTGATTCAATGTTATTTTGTTATGGTAGTTCCTCTTTTGTCAACATCTTGGTTTCCTTTGGTTTTAACCCTAGACCCTTTCTGCTCCTAAAGTTAATATTTATTGAGATTAAACTGACAGACTTGAGATGTATTTTGATTATTTTTGCTCCCTGGCCCCACGTGCCCTTAGTTCTTGGGGTCTTTGCACTCCCTTTCCTCTCAGCCCTGTTTTTCCTCTTGCACTAAAACTTTCCTGTCTGTCAGGCTCCCGGTTACCTAGTTTCTTCACAGAGGGAATTAAATTGCTTTGTTATGGCTGTTTGCAGGGTTTGGTTTTGGTTTGTGGGTGGTTTTTTTTTGTTTGTTTGTTTTGTGTTTTTTTTTTGTTTTTAAGAGTTTACTTTACCCTTGGAACAAAAATCAACAGGAATTGTGCCTTCTGAAACTTTGAATATTCCTTCAAAATTTAATTTAAAACTGTCTCAGTTTTCAAATAGAAATGCATCACTGCTAGAGAGAAGTGTCACGAGGCTGTGCGTGGCGTGCTGCCAGATAGGATCGAATGCCTTGCTGCTGTTGTCTTTTAATTGACGTGTGATTTGTTTTGCAATCATCGAACTCATTTGCATCTACCTTTGGCGGGGATACCTATCAAGGTGGTGAGAAAATGGCACTACAGTTGCTGGTCTTGTTTGCTTTGTTTCGTTATCTTGTTCATTAGGGCTTTGGATTCCTTGTATGATGCAGTGAGTGGGAACCCTATAATGTTTTCTGTTTCTTTTCCAGGATCTTTTGAATTTTGACGATCCTTTGAATATTGAGGCTGCAGAGCATCATTTGCGTGACAAGGTGAGTCAGCGGTTTATTTAAAGTGTGTTGTTCCCAAACAAATACACATACTGTACTGGGCAATTCTCAGTCAGTCCTTTTAAAGCATTCGAGCTGGTACTTCAGGCAGTTGAGTGACTCGTATCAGCAAGCAGTTATTTGAACAAAATGTGCTTTATTTGGGAAAGTAAACTCAACACAGTAGTGTTATTCACCATATGCTAGAATTGTTAACCATAATGCTGTTGTATCCCCAAAATAGATGATCTTTTCCTTCTTATTTCTGAGATTTGCCCTGAAGTTGTACATGTTCTGTGCAGCAAATGATAGTGAGTTGGTTTGGCGCAGTTACGTGAGTAGCCTTTACCTTAGAAGGCCTGCAAAAAGATCTCATCCTTCTCCGTCTCTTTCAAAATGCAACTTTTACCTTCACAACTCTTACATGTTGCATGCTTGTATTACGCCAGGAGAAATCTGGGCACACTTGAAAGACAGGAGTGGAGGCATACCTCAAGCATATAAAAGCATATAAAAGTTACATTTGACATATCCAAGATCTCTTGTGTTAATTAAACTCTTCCAATACTTTCGTTGAATTTAACCTTAAAGAAAGTTTCCAGCTAAATGTTGATTTGAAGAGTTCGTTGAAAATGCGAAGTCAGGCAGTGCACCTAATTTGTCTCATTTTTTCAAGAGGAAGCATCAGGATTGCAAGTTCACCTTTCTAGCTGTTTTCTTGTTTAGTGGGATCTTGTAGCCATTCTGGTATTTGTGAGTGTTCACAGGGCTGAGACAAGACTGTAAGACTAAGGTGAGAAAAATTTAATAGACACCTACTGTGCAAGAGGGGTTTTTTTTCAATGGTTTTGTTGTATCGTTTTGACAAAGAGTACCAGGAAGCCTTCCAAGCCATAAAACACTGAAAGTAGTCACAGAGGGAATGCAGCCCAAGGAACAAAACCAGTGTAGTGAAGGTAGCAAGTTGAATCGTTTTCTTTGTTTGCATTGTTAGAATGAATTATTCTGCAATATCTTGCCAGGGAAATTTGTAGCTCTTTGGGAATGGTGAGGCTACACACCTATTGCTGAGTATTGAGTTTGGCACTTGATTTCCTCTCACTGCCAGAGGGAAAGCGGTTTGTCTGGTGTCTGGGCAGGTTTTTGTAAGGGGAGAGATGCTCCTGTAGTACTAGTAGTGTCATGTGACAGGTGAGCCTTACCAGTGCTTCGAGTAAATTGTTAGACCTCAGAGCAGCCAGAGAGTCATGCCCTCTTCTCAGAGGGGTGAAATGCTAAGAAATCGCTATCCAGCACCTCTCAGCCTCATTCAGAAAGTGGAAATCTTGGGAATCCACAGAAAGGAAGAATGTTACTTGCTTTTAAAAACACACCTCTCTCAAAAAGAGAAGTGAGCATTCAAAATAGCTACTGCTACACTAATAGCATGGCAGCGTGTTTTGTTTTGGTTTTTTTTTTTCAGATAACAGCAGCTGTGGAAGAAGTGAAAGGGAAGTTGAGTGGATTTTTTGACAGTCTTCTAAATTAAAAATATTTTTGGAACAAACATTTTTTTATTTAGTAAACTCTAAGTAGTCTCGTCACAGGCATCTGTAAAATTCATATTCTGCCATGTTAACTTTTTTGGACCTTATCTGAATTTAGTTTAGGTATTTAATTGATAGCGACAGCACCAGGTAGTGCTGGATTTTCCATAGTAGGTCTTAGAGCAACATGAAGACAAAACCGATGATGTCTGTCTAGAGAGAACAAATTAGGCAAGGGAGAGAAATGGATGCTTTTACAATTAACCTCAAAGGATACAATTACAGCGTGAGTTAGTTTTTGTCTCTCTCAGGCATAGATGTCATGTAGCATGTAAGCACTTTGTTACAAAGTCAAACCGCTGTGGTCCTGTCCTGTCTCTTAAGAAAATACTTGCAATGCACAATATGATTAATGTGGGAATGGTAATGAATTTTCCCTGAGACATTTTTACGTGTGTAATACAATTATACAAATAGTCTATAAGTAATATATATGCCCACATGCACAATATATATACAAACAGATGTGCATGTATATCTATATACAAGTAGTTTTGTATACAAACATCTATGCCTGACAGATACTGCAAGAGAATGCCTTTGGTCATTTGACAGCGTGGGAGTATATGGCTTGTAACAGCCGAAACAAATGTACCTTGAGCTGTCTTCTGTGCTTCTGCTGGAGGAGATGACTCAGTATTTCACTGATGTCGTTTCACATTTAAAATCTTGGGATCCCTTTGCTGACGTTCCAGGCTAAGTGTGGCTGCTCGAGAGGTTAACAGCTAATCTGAAGCCTGCCTCTGGTTATTGAAAATGCAAAGCTGGAGTTTGTTCAGTTCCGTAGGCTGGTATTAAGTCATCTCATCAAAAATGACTGCTGCCTTGCAGATACAGGGAAAAATCACATCATAGATATCAAATCCTTATTATTGATTCTTGGAAAACAGTTGTGCTGTGAATGTTTGCGTTACAGATCAGACTAGAAGGGACAGTTATGATCTCCTCCTTCGTAAGCGACCTCTTCATTTTTGCATTAAATTATGGCTTATATCTGAGCACATAGTTGTAGCTTTTGGGAAAGCAGCCTAGTTCTGAGGTGTAAAAATGATACAAAATTCAGAGCTCAAGTTGTTCAATGAATTGCTTTAAAAAACTGTCTTCTCTGAGATCCGAGTTAATGGAGCTTCAGCTTCCAGCCCTTGGCGGCCTCCTTCAGCTTGAGGAAGGAGCTGTTGGTTACTGAACTTCTTCCCTTCCAGCATCCTTCAGTCAGTGATCATCAGGTGACTTCTACATGAATTATTTTTTAAAGTACATATGATTATTTATGCAGCTTTAGTAATTCTACCGTTGTTCCCCATGCACTTTGCAAGCTGTCAGTAAGTTTTTGGAAGGCTGTACAACAAATTTGGGCAGAGTCATCAACATCCGTTTTCACAAGTGCTAGGCAAAGAGATTATCTCAGTATTCAGACTTTCTAGCCCTCTACTTACGTATCCAAAAACTACCACCTTATCAGTTACAGAAGTGATCTAGAGACCTGTATTGTAATTGGTTATTTTCATAAAAGACCTTTTGAGTGACAGAGGATGCTGTCTGCCACCTTGTGTGACTTTAATGAATTTTTCAGAGATAGGACCACTGTATTTATCTGCATTACATGGTACTGTTCAAGTGATTTCCTTGTCATTGCGATCAATTTTGTAAGGCTTCAGTTTTGCCAGTCGTGAGTTTATGATTGTCATCAAGTGATGTTGACAGCTCCAAAGCTTAGTTACCCACCTGATAATCTTTTTCCATATATGCAGTCAGATGTCCCCCCTTTCAGCTTATGAGCTCAATCTTATGTTCTCTTGTCGCGCACCTCCGAGAAGGCTCTGTCCTCTCGGTAACCTGCTCGTCAGTATTGAGGGGCTGCTTTTAGGTCCCCCCAAAGCCTTCTCCTCTCCACCAACAAGCCCTGTTCCCTCAGCCTCTCCTCGCCCCAAGGCCTTCCCAGCAGTGCTGTCCCCAGCCTGGTGTCTGGGACTGTCCCTGTGCAGAGGCTGAGTGTGTCCCAGCAGCAGGGCTTTGCATTTGGCCTTGCTGGACCTCTTGAGGTTGCTCTTGGCCTTTCCTCCAGCCTACACAGATCCTTCTGGAAGGTGGATTTACCCTCCGGCATGTTGACTGCATCCCCTTTAGTGACTATAGTGCCAATTTCCACACTCGGCCAGTTTTCAAACTGAAACCTCCTTGCAAGCTTGTTGACTGTGGTTTTCAGCATTTAATAATGCATTCAGAGAAAATTGTGGTTTTCCTTCACTCTTTCTCACCCCGCCCCACCTTCATTTAACTCATAGTTGTTTCTAGCTTCGGGAAAGTTTGCATTGTTCGTTTTTGTAGTGTTACTTTTTGGAACATTGCTGTTGCCTACATTGTACTGCAGTTAGGTCACGATCACTGGAAGATAAGCAACCATCCTCTCTTGGTTTAGAGCTCAATAAATCAGAATAAAAAGATCATTGATGTCTCTATGTAAACTAAGCCAGGTGTTTCCCAACATTCAGTCTTCTCACACTGATACAATCTCATCGGTTTGGTAGTATGAGTTTTCTTGTTGAATTTAAAGAACCACTTGCTAGTTAATTAGCTGGAACTGCTTTCAATTTAGCAGAGAAGTCAGCCTGTCAGTAATTATGTGGATGACCAGAGCCATTAATTGTTAGTCAAGTCGATTCCACGGATTCCTAAGCAATGAGTAAGTGTTTAAGTTTTAATGACTACTCACTTAAAAATTATGTGCTAAAATTTGTAGGATTTGCTGTTTTGTACGGTGAATGAATAGAACTCTATTGATTTGCTTGCTGTGGCAGCCAGGTAAGCTGAATACTGAAGGACTAGGGATATAACTTGGTTATCCAAAACTGAATCGGCTTAGGAATTCAGGACTTGTGTATTCCTTAGCCAGAGGTGCCGTGGGCGCTGCGTCTGCTATTTGTTAGCTGAAACATAGAAAATACTTTCCGTATGTACATCTGTCATGGTTGTTTTGAGATACTACCTCAGGACATTGTGATTCCCTAGGTTGCTTAAAAGTTTTGTTAGTAGTGTTTGCCTTTGCCAAAAAAAAACATTTCAAAGCGGTATGTCCAGTCCACAACAGGAAAATTCATTACACTGTTTGTGTGGCTTAAAGTAGAAACGTTTTTCCAAATATTCCTTAGCATTCTTCCTCATGTAGGCCTGCCATATCAAGAATGCTAATGCTGTGTCCTATTTTAATTATATTCGCCTGTTGTATTTGGTGCAGTTTAAAAGGCTAAAGCAATTTTTTGTCATCCTGCAGATTAGCAAGCACTCATTTACTTGTTCATCCATGCGGTCTTGAGTTGTTTTAATAGGAGAAGCTGAGTAACATCACCCTGTGTTATTTTCCTGCACGATCTTTCCGTCTTCTCAGTGAAACTCATCTGTCGATATTTGGTGCATGGA